TTTCGTCGTAGTTTTAATTTTTTTATTAGAGAGATTAAGGGATGAAACGGAGGTTGTTGGGTGGAGAATTTAATTCTCCATCGAACAGCATTCGTTTCATTCCTTAATGTTGATTAGGAGCAGAGATACGATTCTTTAATTACCGGGCGAGTTGTTGGGAGTCACTGCGCCGAGAAACCTTTGAGTTTTTCATAGCGCCGCGACTTTCGTCGCAGTTTTAATTTTTTCATTACAGTGATTAAGGAATGAAATGGGGGTTGAAGGATGGGGAATTTAATTCTCCATCGAACAGCATTCGTTTCATTCCTTAATGTTGATTAGGAGCAGAGATACGATTCTTTAATTACCGGGCGAGTTGTTGGGAGTCACTGCGCCGAGAAACCTTTGAGTTTTTCATAGCGCCGCGACTTTCGTCGCAGTTTTAATTTTTTCATTACAGTGATTAAGGAATGAAATGGGGGTTGAAGGATGGGGAATTTAATTCTCCATCGAACAGCATTCGTTTCATTCCTTAATGTTGATTAGGAGCAGAGATACGATTCTTTAATTACCGGGCGAGTTGTTGGGAGTCACTGCGCCGAGAAACCTTTGAGTTTTTCATAGCGCCGCGACTTTCGTCGCAGTTTTAATTTTTTCATTACAGTGATTAAGGAATGAAATGGGGGTTGAAGGATGGGGAATTTAATTCTCCATCGAACAGCATTCGTTTCATTCCTTAATGTTGATTAGGAGCAGAGATACGATTCTTTAATTACCGGGCGAGTTGTTGGGAGTCACTGCGCCGAGAAACCTTTGAGTTTTTCATAGCGCCGCGACTTTCGTCGCAGTTTTAATTTTTTCATTACAGTGATTAAGGAATGAAATGGGGGTTGAAGGATGGGGAATTTAATTCTCCATCGAACAGCATTGGTTTCATTCCTTAATATTAATTAGGAGGAAAGAGACGATTTATTCATTACCGGGCGAATTATAGGAGAGTCACTCTGCGCTGAGAAAACATTGGGTTTCTTATAGCGCCGTGACTTTCGTCGCAATATTAATTTCTTTATTGCAGAGATTAAGGGATGAAACGGGG